GCGGTATTTTTTGCATGGGCCTGGTAGTGTCTTTGTGTTTGTGTGCGTGTGTGTGTGTGTGCGTGCGTGTAAGTTGGATCAAGGACACGCTGCTGGCCCCTCACGCCGGCTCTTACAGAGTCCGGGCGATCGGGACGCTCGGTGTCGTTTGTGTTTTTGACCTTGATTTGAGGCGCTTTGTTGTTTTTCTAGTGAAGCGTTGGCGCTGTTTGGTATGTGTACTGCGTTACGAGTATAACTAGAACAGTACTGTTAATTATTCAAGAGGTTTTTATGTTGAAATTGTGCAAAATTCCTTGACCCAAACTCTTCTTGGTAAATCCGGCATGGGGGGGGGTTGTAGTAGTGTGGAGGTGCAAAAAGCGAAAGTGAGATGTTGGATTAAGCTAAATAATAAACGTGTGTCTGTAGCTCAGCAGTTAGTCGGGAGGCAGTGGAACAGAAAGTGTTGCTGCTGTACCTCTCGTCTGGTAGCTCTGGGACTTGCTCTACTACTGTTCATACATAACATTAAGGTGTGTGTGTGTGTGTGTGTGTGTGTGTGTGTGTGTGTGTGTGTGTGTGTGTGTGTGTGTGTGTGTGTGTGTGTGTGTGTGTGTGTGTGTGTGTGTGCCTCCACAGCTGGGAACGGGCTGTATTAGGATATTTCTACAGAGCTGTTAATAATATTACATATTGTGCAATTCAAATATTCTCTCTCTTTTGTTCTTTCTAAATAATGTGTGAACTTTGACGTCAAGGTCGTAAGACCCACAAAGAAACTACAGCACAAATAGTTCAGGTCTGCATGTGTTTCACTGCCACTGGATGCCACAGCAGCATGCACGTACGTGCACGACTCCCATAATGCCTTGCTGCGTCTGTGGTCGCAGCTGCCCACAGGCCAGGTTGACCTTTGTGAGGCAAATGTCTCCTGATAGATGCTCCCAGTGTGTGTGTGTGTGTGTGTGTGTTTGTGTGTCTTCATTACTTGCTGTTTATTAGACAACAACAAGAGTAAAGAGTCTTTTGCAGATTCCTTGGTGGTGGAATAGAACCTCTTGACCTGCATCGTAATAAGATCTGTTGAAGACAATTGTACACTTTAGTCTTAAGTCTACCTGGAGGAGTCTACCTGTACTTTAGTCTTAAGTCTACCTGGAAGGCGTCTACCTGTACTTTAGTCTTCAAGTTCTACCTAGAAGGCGTCTACCTGTACTTTAGTCTTAAGTCTACCTGGAAGGAGCCCTACCCTCTACTTTAGTCTTAAGTCTACCTGGAGGAGCCTACCCTGTACTTTAGTCTTAAGTCTACCTGGAGGAGTCTACCTCACTTTAGTCTTAAGTCTACCTGGAGGAGTCTACCTCTACTTCAGTCTTAAGTCTACCTGGAGGAGCCTACCTCTACTTTAGTCTTAAGTCTACCTGGAGGAGTCTACCTCTACTTCAGTCTTAAGTCTACCTGGAGGAGCCTACCTCTACTTTAGTCTTAAGTCTACCTGGAGGAGTCTACCTCTACTTTAGTCTTAAGTCTACCTGGAGGAGTCTACCTCTACTTTAGTCTTAAGTCTACCTGGAGGAGTCTACCTCTACTTTAGTCTTAAGTGTACCTGGAGGCGTCTACCTCTACTTTAGTCTTAAGTCTACCTGGAGGAGTCTACCTCTACTTTAGTCTTAAGTCTATCTGGAGGCGTCTACCTGTACTTTAGTCTTAAGTCTACCTGGAGGAGTCTACCTCTACTTTAGTCTTAAGTCTATCTGGAGGCGTCTACCTGTACTTTAGTCTTAAGTCTACCTGGAGGAGTCTACCTCTACTTTAGTCTTAAGTCTACCTGGAGGAGTCTTATTGGATAAAAGCTCTCTTTGAAACAAGCTGCACTGGAAGCAGAGCAACTGAGAGAGACATGAGCTGTGCAATGAGAAAACAGGCTAATGGGACAAATGAATATAATACATGTGGTGTATTTACAAAAAAGAAAATACAAAAAAGCTGTAACTTTGTGATTCAGATTCAGACCGCCGGTTTATAAGACAAATCATCTCCAAGCTGTTTCCTCCATGCTGTTGTAAACTAAAACTCCAACATTTGTTCTAACGGTTTGTCTGAATAGCAGCAGCAGCAGGTACACCGACATTTTGCTCAGTTGTTCCTGTGTATGTTTGATGATGAAGGAACTCGTCTTTGTCCTTCAGCGTGAGAATGAAAAAGCTTTCATGCAGTAACCTCCGCCGCGGTGAACCACTTGTCAATATCTGTTACTCGCGTTGCATCTTGATAAGGCGTGTCAATTAGGACCCTCTCATCAGTCGGCCATCACAAAGTGTGCTTACATGCCTATTGGATCAACGTGTTTATTGGGCGAATGAAAGACCTTTGCACCACTCGGGTAATTAATTCACTTCTGCCGACGGTTCTCTAGCTCGGTACCCTCTGGACGTGTTCCCCGGAGCCGAAAAGCTCTGTGACATTCTATTAAACCATTGCAACATGGAGTTCTAATGTTATGGAATTGATGATAATGTTGAGCAAGCAGAAGGTTTAAGGTGAGAGAAAAGTGACTAAAAAGTTCATTCGTATACAAACATTTATCCGGCTTTTCAAGCCAGTCGGTGTAATACGTCTGTTGGTCCTCCCTGTTGCTCGTCTGCAATGCATGGTGTGGCCCTGTGTGTGTGTGTGTGTGTGTGTGTGTGTGTGTGTGTGTGTGTGTGCGTTGGCTGTTCGATGAGATCATAGGCTGGTCGTGACACTTGACACGAGTCTGAGCGACAGCTACTGACTCACCCCCCCCTCCCATGCAGCATTTGGATGTAGCTCTACAAAAATATATGTGACGCATTTACATACACCTACACACACACACACACAGACACACACATTCTTAATAGCGGAAGCTGAGCCGTGACGATGTGTTCGACTGACTGCGGTACCTGAATATGTAACCATTTCTCTGGCCTTCTTTTATTGGACCTATTCATATATCAAACATTTAATATTGCAGCCACTGACTGACATTTGGAAAAGAAATTGGGAGAAGATGCGACCAGATGTTAACTTTAAAAACTGTGATTTGCCTATGCCTTGTGTGTGTGTGTGTGTGAAGAAGCCGAAGAAGTCTCTTCCGTCCAGATGTTTCTTATCCACTGAGTCGCAGACCTCCATTACTTTCACTCACTGGCTGAATTTGCTTTTTGAACGTGGGCACTGTGATTTTGACTCAATCCCAACGTCATCGGCACGTCGCTTTAAACTCTCACTCGACTTAAAAATAAGTCCCAACAAATGTGTTTTATAGGCGATTTTTTGGACATCCCCCTTAGTTCTTTTGTTTTTATATTTATTCTCATTATCTCTTTGTCAGGTAATAATGAAATATGGCATACATGTCACACCTGATCATTTTAGGCATTCATTGTAAATATAAAAGCACATTTTGGTATTCGTTTAAAGGTTTTATTGTAACCCTTATTAATTTAATTCATCAACCAATGGACAGGAAGTCAGAAGATGATGAAAGTATGCGACGGTGTGCAAAGAGGAAACTGTCATGTGTGTGTTTGTTGAACTAGAACTACATCTATAAATGTTCCGCAGATTATCACTTAAAGAAATGCAGATACCAAAGACTTTGAACGTCTTTCTGCTTAATCGAGTGTCAGTCGGAGGTTAGTTGCTGTCTCCCGACTGCGTGAGCGAGGATGAATCAATTTATGAATGATTTTCTGAGTGTGGGTGCTGGAAAGAACCTCTTCATATGCAAATCGGCAATTAGGGTTGAGTCGTCCGTTGTTGGTCGCCACCCCCCTCCCCTCCCCCCCTCCGCTTCCCTCCAATCCTCCCGCGCCGTTTTACCAGCGAACCTCTTTCAACCGCCGCTTCCTCTCTCTTCATCCTCCTCCTTCATCTGGCTTTCTCTCCTCTTCCCCTTCATCCCTCTTCAGTCCTCCCCCTCCTCTCCCCCCGCTCTCTCTCTCTCTCTCTCTCATTTCCCCTGTGGTGTTGACCACGTGTGAATGGGACTGAATGATGGGTGGGAATGAAGCTGCATGCAGTGTACACACACACACACACACACACACACACACGGATGGATCGGTGTGTGTGAAGGACTTGTACAAAGGAGGATGAGTCACTCTTCCTCACACGCTCGAAGGAGACTGCATCCTAGTCATAACTACACAAACACACAAACACACACACACTGATATAAACAAGAAGGCTTTTACCAACATACATGATTGATAGTGTTCATGCATCAGTTTAATGAGCTCGGTTGATGTGTTTGTGTACACGTGACGTCTGCATATTACACGCTGTGTGTGCTTTGTATTCAAAGCAGTAATTGTGTGTGTGTGCGTGTGTGTGTGTGTGTGTGTGTGTGATGGGGCTTTTCATTGTTTTTTTCCCCTCACATCCCCTGAGGGCCACAGCTCTGTCCTGCTTCGCCCCCCCCCCCCCCCTCTCTCTCTCTCTTATCCACTTGCCTTTGATGCATCCCAATCACACGTGGAGATCAGTGATTATCGATCGACGAAAGCAAATCACGCGCCACAATTTCTGTCGCTATCATAATGCCACATGTTTTACGCATGAATAGAAGATTAAGTGTTTAATTGGAAACGGAACGACTGCCTGATTAATTCGACCTGGTGTTAATTCCAAAGCGAGAGGGAAGAGCTTCCCCTTTTTTAGTCGGCCGGTTCTCTTTTTCTTAGACGACTAGGATGTCGTCGAGTTGAATCATTTGTGCTTTTTCATGCTGAATGACTTATTTCTAAGAAGCGAATGAGGAAGGATGAATCATAGCAACATCTTACCATCTTAACACAACCCCCCCCCCCCCCCCAGGAAGAAAAACGCTGTCATTTTTAACCGTTATTGGGACTTTGGGAGAAACCAAGAGATGCAGAACCCGGATCCATCGTGTGGGTGGAGATTGATTGACTCAGACACAAATATGATCCAATTTCCTCACGTTGGACAATAAGGAGTGGAAATGAATTTGTGTTTCTCCTCCACAGGGACATTCAGAGGTGTGTGTAAGAAGATCGATCACTTCCCGGGAGACGCCGACTACGAAGCCGATGCCGCTGGATACCTTTTACGTGAGTTTGATGATGATACATTTCCGACCATTTTTAAAAAAACGTAAATAACGACCCTTGAACCTTTGATTTCTGTGAACTTGGATGGGACACAAGTGATAATTATCCCTGGGCATCACTCATACGATATTGGATAATAATTGTTCCTTTGAGTGCAGACAAACAACCAACATATGAATCATCCACAGGCCTTTACATACGTTTTTATTTGCCATTCCTTTGCAGATAATTATGTTTCTTTCTGTGCGCTTTCAATGTTTTGTACTAATATTGCACAGAAAAAAGTGAGGTACCTTAAATGGGAACACGGCTCATTTTTCTGAGCTTTTGCACCACAAATAAAAGCATCAGTCACTTGCTTTGCACCCAACGCCGTGCATCACATAATACTCTAATATTTGGAATTGCCTCGTTGTTTATTTGTCCCGCCCCCGTTGTGTAAAGGCCTTAATAAATAACGCACAACATTGTTTTATTGTGACATGCTTTTGGATATCCACAAATATCCACTGGTCCCATTAATCGTAGTATGCATTGCTGCACGAGGAGGAGAATTCAACTCATTAATCAGCTTGGTAGGCATATTGTCTTTTTCTTTTTAATAATGGCTGAAACTGGAATATTTTATGGATGCAAATGGGACCCATGTGAAAACAGGAACTGAAATGATGAGTGCTAATAGTAGCCACACTGACCCGTTCAAGATTAAAAGTCGAGTTGATTCATTGAATTGGCCGTTTGCTGTATTCTGCCCCCCTTAGTTACCGTTGCTACCAAGCTTCCTGTTCCAGCACTTATGTTGTTTAAAAAAACAGATAGAATGAAATAGCAGATCTGATTAATGTGGTTTAACACTGTCTGCAGTAGACTTGCTAGACAGCTTGTTTAATCACAAGGATCTTGTAAAAAAGGGTCTGAATCTGCACCTGATGGATCCAAACATGATATCACACAGGTAAAAACTATGTAGCCATGAGATCAGCTTCTGATCGGGGAATGTAGAGGAAAGAGTTCCATGTATGATGGAGAGAGCAAGAGAACATTTTTTAAAAACAGGCGCCTCAGTTTTATCAGTAAATAAAAAAATCCCTGATGAGAAGATGGCAGAAAAGAGAAAGGAGGCATCCCATTTACATAGAGGGAGTTATTAGTGGAGCACAGAGAGGCGGGGAGGGTTAATGGGGGGGGGGTTAACTCCTGATCCTTCTAAACACAGAGTAAAGATGGACGAAGAGAGAAAGCGAAAGAACAACAACAACAAGAGAAAAGGGGGAAAAAACGAATTCAGCCTTTTGCATCGCTCCACTGAACACAGAGCAACATCCCCAGAGGCAGCCAATTAGATCACGGGCCTCAGAGCCGGCCGGCCAATGGCGAGCGGGGACCTAGTGACCGGCATTTCATACGGCCCAGGGGTGTGGGCCACGGGGGGGGCGGGGCTTATACGCTTCAACGCACAGCACCACTGGTCACCGCAGCCGTCAGTCACGCTGTGAACGTTCTCCGACTGGGTGATTTATATTCTCGTTTTAACTCCACCTGTGATGTATGGGAGCGCGCCGCCACCTCCACCCGCCGCGCCGCTGATGCTTCTGCACCACCGGCTGTTTGCTGATATCCTTCAATATGTTGTGCCGTCATGTACACATATGGGGTTCTGACAAATATCTCGCGCCTCCCCGCAGCCTCCCTTCCATTTTCATCGTCTCCGCTATTCGTTGTGTTCGCGCTGCATATGTGTCAGCGCGGCTCTCCATCTGTCTTGGGTTTTTTTTTTTTTCTCCATCTTCTCCCTCCGCATCCGTCTCTCCGAGGAGGGGCCTCTGAATGCTCCTACATGGTGTGGATGCAGACCCAGTCAAGCACGTCGCAGCACACTGGCCTTGTTTAACTGTGTGTGTGTGTGTGTGTGTGTGCGTGTGTGTGCGTGTGTGCAAAGCGAGAAGCTTCTCATTGCTTTGGTGGATTTGAAATGATGAATCAGCATCGAGTGTTCACATCAATCTTTTCAGCTAACCGTCAGATTTACAAAAGAATGGGACTTATATTGTTTTCTGTGTCCTCGTATTTGCAGCGAACCGATTGCTAAAGGTTTTGTGCGTGTGTGTGTGTGTGTGTGTTTTGACAGGTGCTGTGCGGGCCTCCAGTATCTTCCCCATCATGAGCGTGGGTCTGCTGTTCCTGGGGGGCCTCTGTGTGGCCGCCAGCGAGTTTTACCGGAGCCGACACAACGTGATCCTCAGCGCGGGCATCTTCTTCGTCTCTGCAGGTCAGTCGAGCCGACATCCACGGCAGGAAGGCGTCGCTCACATCGATTATGATGTTTCTCACAGAAAGAAAAAGGAATTGGCTATTTGATGAGGAATTGTCCCGTTTTAGCCCGTATTTACCCGTAGCCGCGCACGCGCCATATGTACGTGTTCAAAAAAATACCAGAATCAGAATAAATAATAAGAATTTAAAATGTATTAGAATAAAATAATTTTCATATAATGAGCCCAGTGATGTACCCAGTACACCTCATATAACTGGTGCGGCAGGCTGAGATATAACGTTGATGACCATCTCCATGACAACACAGTTAAACACATCATAGCAGCCAGACCTAAAACTCCCTGAACAGATCAGACGCGTCCGGAATTTCTGTAATTTAAACTATGCTGCTTTTGAGATAGCAACACGGGGCTAGTGTGTGTGTGTGTGTGTGTGTGTGTCAATCAATCAGTGTGTGTCCTTCAGATCCACTCTAAACAAAGGAGGTGCAGCACTCAAATATTTGCAGAAGGAGCCCGTCAGGCATCTAAAGCACACAGAATTGCCGGTGTGAGCGCGCAAATTTGGCCACAGCAGCTGATTAATCAATCGGCAAGAATACCATGATGCCGCTGTGATGCACTGCGAGGGTGTTAAGCTTGTCAACACACACGTGCACACACACGTGCTCACACACATAATCTATCACGCGGATGCTGACACTTCGCTCTCCCGTAAACACACACACACACAAAGGACTGTGAAGTACTTGCTGTTCAGTGGGACGTGTAGGGTCCCATTGGGTTTTGTAGTAAATTCATGGAGCCAAATTGGTAATTATTTACCACAATAGTGTGGGGCTGATTCTGGTTAATTACAGCTGGCTAATTGTCCCCATTCTGTGCGTTCCACCACACTGCATCAGCACTGCATTTTGGACTAATGATATGGAATAAGAGCGCCCAGCTGTGTGCAAAGACTCTCTCTGATCTCTCGTCCTCTTCTCATTTCTCTCAAGTCTTGGCTCTGACATTATTTCCATTCACTTCAACTCTCACTGATCTGCCACTTTATTGTATCTTTGACGGTGTCGGTTAATTGAAATATATCTCAATGTTTGTTAGAAACTGCATTCAAGTCCCCCTCTGGATGTAAAAACCAAAGTTTTACTTTGTGCATCGCTTTGGTTTGGGACTGTCGATTATGGTGAACATCGTACTTTCCAAACATGTGTTAGCGTTGCCAGTCTGAGCGTGCTAGCGTGCAGATGTTAGCGTCTAGCTCGGGCACAGCTGCATTAACTGTACATTTGTCCTCTGTTTTCTTTTAGTGACGGATCTCTGGCAGTTTATGACGTGTGCTGTGTGTCTGGATGAGTATGGAGTACATGGAGTGCCATAATTAAGAATACATCTGTGATTGAATGACAATAAATATATTCTAATGTATAAAAATGTCTTTTATTTTTGGTTTCGTTTATTTCTCTTTACATTTGACTGATTTATTCTTCATTCTGACACTCCTGTCACTCCCTACTGTTTGCCTGGTTGAGGAGGTCACGCTTTCACTCTTCCCACGTCTCAATGTTCTCTTTCTCTCCAGGTCTCAGTAACATCATCGGGATCATCGTGTACATCTCCGCCAACTCGGGCGACCCGGGTCAGAGCGACAGCAAGAAGTCCTACTCCTACGGCTGGTCCTTCTACTTCGGCGCCCTCTCCTTCATCATGGCGGAGATGGTGGGCGTGCTGGCCGTGCACATGTTCATCGAGAAGCACCGCAAGCAGCGGGCCAAGTCCCGCACCGAGCTCATCAAGAAGTCCGCCTTCAGCCGCATCCCGTCCTACCGCTACCGCTTCCGGCGCCGCTCCAGCGTGCGCTCCTCCGAGGCCCCGAGCCGCGACGCCTCCCCGCTGGGGAAGGGCGGCTACACGGGGCCCGCCGCCTCCGAGATGCCCATGTACACGCTGAACCCGCGCGAGGCGGGCAACGCCGGCGCCAAGCCCGGGGGCGGCATGGGCGGGCTGCTCAACTCGGAGAGGGAGTTCCTCCAGAGCAGCACGCTCACCAAAGACTACAGCAAGGACCCCAACCGCAGGACCACGCCCGTCTGAGAGGCCCGCAGACATCGCCCGATCGGAAGCGCCGAGCGGCGGGGGATGAGGAGGAGGAGGGGGGGGGGGCGCACAGGGTTACGGGGGAGGGTGGGGGGGGGGGAACAGCGGGGTGGGGGGGGTGTTTGATAAACTATGACTGTGAACTGTGAACTTTTAGCCTTTGAACTGTGAATCCTGAGCCCTGTGAGAGTTTGTGTAGCAGGGTCGGTTTGGATGGAGAAGTTGTTCCCGCCCCCCCCCCCGTCGACCACTGCTCACTGTTCGTTAAACCCGGCACTCCTACCTTAGGAAGACACTGCAATTTAGGTCCATGAGTGTTGTGTCATGAAGTTACTTTTCGCCTTTTCGACGCGGTTGGCATGCGAGCCCGAGCTGACCCATGATCAAAAGCATATCCGACAAGTGGTCTGCTGTTTGGGGGGCAACTCCTCCCAAACATTTAACACAATGTGAACTAAAGGGGAAGGAGGTGAGGGACTCTGTGATCTTTGACCTTTTTGACCTCTGTCCTCCCGACCTTTTTGGGGTGGCAGTGGGACGAGCTGCCAGCTCTGGGCTGTCGCTCTGATCACGCCTCGGGAACGGGATTGATTCACTTTCAGTTCAGCTGGATTCAAAATATAAACGGAGGGCGCAGTTTGTCTATTTAAGGCGGCACGTTTGTTATTATTTTCTTATACATATTGTATATAGGCTCCTTTCATATCGATTGGTGGAGAAGCTCCCTTCTTAACAGACTGAACTGAAACTGGGTCGAGCTCATTCTTGGTAACATTTACCCCCATCTCTGATCCAGGGTCAGCTGTTAAAACCTGCATCCTGGTTTCTGATGAGGGGGACCAGGTGCACTGACTACAGATCAGCTTTTAGAAGAGTGGGTGGGGGAGGGGGGGGGAAACTAATTAACCTTTTTAGATGGTAACGTTATCATTGGTGCTTCCTTTTACCCGTTTTCAGTCACACCTTGATTTGTTTTTTTCACCGCATCGAGGTGATCGCATCTCCGTCTGTCTGCCCGCCTTCACCCGTCACCCTTCGCCTTCCACGCCTTCTTTTCCCGTGTAGCCCCATAACTCACCTCACCGCCGCCCTGCACCTCCTCCTCCTCCTCCGCCTCCTCCTGTAGGTCCTGTCTTCCGTGGGTGTCCATCGTAGTCTAGCTAGGGTCCGTGGAGGTTGTCGGTTCCCGCGGCGAGGAGACCGCTGAGCTGTGAATACGCTTCGAGGCAGAGCCAAAAAAAGACATTCAACAAACAGATGGACGTTTTTTTTTTTTCTGTTGTTTTCGTTTGCCCACTACCTCGCAAGTGAATGCATTTCAGATGAGTTTGATCAACAACGACAACAAAAAAGTTGTCTTTTTTAAATATTTCAGCCGCAGAAATAAACGGTGAGAAAACGCTCCCTTCGGCCTAAAGTACAGCGCGCTCTCCTCCAACGGGGAGAGATTAATAGATGGAATTGGCAGAAGAGGCACGTATTATTCAAAGGATCCGTTCAGCTGTCACTCACAGACTCTCCTCCTCTTTATCTCCACAAATCCTGTATACATTTACCCAGACGCACACACACACACACACACATCTCGTGGTCTACGTCTCTTTTCTGCGACAGCTTGTGGAGGAGCGATAAGCTTAAGTTCACCTCCCTCTCAGACGCGTGTGCATAGAAACACTGAATGCACTAACGGCCGTTTGAACTCGGGATGTTTAAGTGCGTCTCTTTTTCTCGGCGGGTCGTTTCGCACACAGATGAGGGGGAGGAGACGAAAGGGAGAGAGCGAGCGCCAGTAAATAGTGTAAATGTCAACTTTTCTCACACCTTTTTTCCGGGGCTGTAAGTAAAAGGTGAGCGTGAAACCGAAAGAGGAAGAAAATGCATTTTTGTTTCCCTCTTTACCTCCCTAAGCCGCCATTGCACTGTTTTGTATAAACTAACCATGAAACATCACCACGCTGAAACGCCACACCACTTTGAGAGTTATTACCCTGAAAATAAACAATGTTTTAAATCTCAGTCACACTGCTTAATTTATGACGCTGCTGTTTTATCCGCTGTCTTTTACGCCATAAAGGGAGCTTAAAGGGACAAATGTGCAACACGGCGGACTCGCTCTCGCTGTCCCCCACGTGTAAATATCAATTTTGCAAGCTAACTACAACATCAGCAGTTGTCACGGGCTGTGAAGGGTGAAAAGGATATTTAAAAAAAAAAAAAAACGCCTTTCTCCAAGCAAGGGCTTTTAATTTTTAAAGGAGCGGAGCACACAAGGGCTTTTTATGCTCAGCGCCGCGGCGCCGTCGTGTCGAGGCGAAGCTGAATGGCTTCCCGGAGGATGGGACGCGCTCCGTGCAGAGGAGAGGCGGAGCCAGGGGGACGAGGCCCTCCTACTCCTGTTGGTTAGCCTACTCGTTAGCCTTTGGCCGCTTCCTTTTGGGCTAACTTTAGGCTTCGGCGGGGAGTTTTCCGAAGTAATTAGAGAATAAGAATATCGCCTTAAGCAGAGGTAGAACTTTGATTAAGAATTATTTCAGTTAGCTTAAGGATGAAACATATATTAGCAAAATATTGTTAATCATACTTAGTGCCAAATATTACTCAAGGTGTTTCTAGTATATCACGGCCTCCAGGTTAGCTTCAGATCCCGTCCTGCAGTATACTGACTCAGCAGTAGTAGCTATGTAGCTCAGCAGATCGGGCCCCCCCCCCTGGATTCTGAGGGTCTGTCGGGGGGGTCAGAGTTCACCACCGCATCCATGAGCCATGCCAGCATTGACCTTTTCAAACCATGCATGCCATATCCATCCGCTTCCAGTGCTTACATTGGCTCTATCTCTAACCCGGTCTCAAATGGCGCCCCGGGCCTCTGTACTCCGCGGGGGGTTCTGCTACATTTAAGACGCCTCACGTGCGTTGGAGCTGTGTTTAACGCTGTTTACTCCAGAGGACGCGGGGCGATCTTTGAGACCTCACCTCTGTCTATCTCTTCCTACCGCCATACAGCTTTGATACTCTGATATCAACAACAAATAATTGTATTATTAGAAAAAAATATATATTATTCCACTCTAAAGGTGCCACTGTGCAGAGGATGACAAACTCTGTCACATACTATAAGTATTATATCTATTAACGGGGAGGGGTGGGGGTGGAAAGGGAGCAGCGTTGGGAAGCAGGGGCCGTAGTCTTTGTAATATTATATTATTCTAGTTTCCTTTTCTACTTTGATGTGGTTTGTGAGATTGTGTTGTTTCGATCACATCGGGAGCCTCCGACAGGAGGCCGAGAAAGAGACAGTGGCGCGCTCGGACCATCTCTCGTGGACATGGACCTCACCTCACTGGTGCCAGGGGTCAACTTTACAGGTCATCAGCGGGACACTCAACACTGAAAGTGCAATACACACACACACACACACACACACATGCTGTTAAAGTATAGTTGCTATACTTCCGAGGACTTATTCACCCAATGAACCACAGGCTAAAGCTCTGTTTTCTTCAACAGGAGATGAATGCAGAAAACAATGCGACCCACTAAAAGAGTCTGTAAGAGCAGATATTTGACTCACAGGGGAAACAATAGATACTGTTTACCATGACCGGCACGACAACAGGTTCATGCTGAATAATTGTCATTATTAACGCGGGAGTTTTGGAGCATATTTGGATTAAATATTTCAAATAAGTTCAAACCAAAAACAATGTACCAAATTACGATATTAAATCAACTGAAACAAGCAACGCTAACATGAATTCAAATACAAAAAGCATCCCTGCTTTGGATGATTTTATGGGGGGGGGGGTGGAAGTCCTTATAAGTATAGAAACAACAGAAACACTCTAATATGGTCTCAAACGTACACGCACGCACACGCACACAGCACACACTCACACGTGTGGGGGAAAGTTTGTCCTGTTAAAAGAAAAAATCACTGTGTTGTGTTTGAAAAAAAAAAAAAAAAAATCATTGTAAGTGTTTCTTTGGGAGAAAAAAAACAACAACAAACTGTATCTGTCGCTGATGTGTCGCTCCTCAATAGAACCACGAGTACGCTGAGCCGGGCCGATCAAACACGGAGGACCAGAGGAACTGTTTGAGAAATGTGAATTTAATGCTAAACACGTGCTATAAGCACTCTACACTTTGCACTTGATCACACGCACACACACACACATATACAAGGTTACTGTGTGAGGAGGGCTTACGGGTGGCGTAATGTGCCTGCATGTTTGTGTGTGTGTGTGTGTGTGTGTGTGTGTGTGTGTGTGTGTGCGTACGTGTGTGTGTGCAGTCAGCCTCTCCTCACCCATGCACCCAGTGCCTGCCTGTCCTGCCTTTCAGACAGCTCCCAGATCAGCCATGGGGCTTCCAGTGTGACCTCCTCTGCATTCCCACGACCCCTAACGGTGGCGCTGGGATCGGTTTTAGAGCTAACGGCCCCGATCATTCCTCATGCCATGCTAGATACAAGGACTGTTTCGGAGTCAGTGGTTCCTGGCGTGTAATGGCGACAAAAATCAACGATATAAAGAGGGAAGTGGGTTTTGGGGTTTTTTTTGCACGGGTCCGTCAGGCTTTTATTTTGACTCTCCTGCTGCTCGGGTCTGACAGATTGATTAGACTGGTTTAGGATCAGCGGAGGGGGCTTAGCGAGATAGACAATGATGTATCCAGTCCCTAATGACAGCTGGTTCTGGAGTCGGCACAACCTGCTGGTCCCCGAGAACCCAAACGTTCCACGAATCAGCCGCACAGAGAAAGGAAAAGAGGCTCCGGCTCGTCGCGTTGCTGAGGGTTTGTCCATAGGAGGCGTGAGAGGTCGTCCCACCTGCACTGCCAATTAGACCCAAATGCTGTGGGACGGTACACAGAGGGCCGCCGGACGGGTCCAGGACCTGTCGTCAAAACAGAAGCCATGACTTCAGAAGTTATTCTGGCCTCGGTGCCTCTTGAGCCCCCCGCTTCCGTTTTTCCCTTTGTTTTTGCGTGCCAGGCGTTTAGCCCTTTAGCTGGAGGGATTTTCTACCTGTCTTGCGTTTCACACATATTATTTTGACGGGAAGGGGCGGAGC